ACTTAATCTGTAGGATCAATACTTCTGTACAGACTAGGGCTCTTCCAAAGCCACCAATGTTGGATTTATACTGGACAATGTGTGTGATATTAAATGACAATTACATATAGGGCTGTTCAATTAATCGTATTTTAATCTCGATTGCGATTTTGGCTCGAAACGATTATCAAAACAACGTAATCGAAAAAAAACGATTATTTTGCTGCATTCCCTTTCGCAATGATGCTCTCAATTTGTCTTGCGTTATACAGGCCGTTATACTTCTTTCACAACTTCGCCGTCTTTGAAAGACTTTATGTGTTTCGCAAGAACGTGACTGACACGATAAGATGCTACGGTAGCAGCCTTGCTCTTGTTGTTGGGCCTGGTGAAAATGGACTGCTGTGCATTTAGCTGTCCTTTCAGGTCCCTCCCCTTTTGGGAGCGTAGGGCAGAATGAGGAGGGAATTCCGGCCCAATCCCAAACCGCCCCCTACACCCAGCAAACATCCACTGATAAATTGCGATCCTCATGATAACCTCATATGTTTTTAACTTAGGATCATATGTTTAGTCTAGAAAAAGGTAAGCGTGTGCATTTTATTATAAAGTTGTGTATATTTACAGACTGTTGCAAAAACTAAGAAGCTTATAAAAATCAGCTTTTAAAACTAAAAGAGCTTTACAAAAAAGTAACACAATAAAAGATGTTTGGAGTTTTATTTGAGTTATTAATTTACATTTTTCTTCTAAGAGATGCTGATTTGAAACCGTTGTTACATACAGTAGAGTTACGGCATTTCCTGTTTCTGCCGGAGAGAGGGGAGGCCGTCCCAAAGCTTGCTGCTGTATTTATACCCTTAACCCTTAATGGAGGGAACTTCATTCAGCTGCGAGTGTGGCTACAGACGGAGTTCACTCCGTCACGGAGGGGTAGGGTCGATGGGGTGATTTGGGATTGGGCCTCCGTCTCGTAGCTTTTGAGCACTGTTTTGAAATGCCGCTCCTAAATTACCCTTCTTCGATAAAGCCACGCTCGCATTGCAGATGAGACAGATGGACTTTGAATTGGAATAGATACAAAAATAATCATCCTCCCACTCGGAGTGAAAATTATATATTTTGGACTTTTTTGCTTCTGCCATAATTGTGTGTGTGTGTGTGTGTGTGTGTGTGTGTGTGTGTGTGTGTG